CTCTGTCTCCTTACTTATTTTCTGTCTGGTTGATCTGTTGTTTGGAGTGAGTGGAGTGTTGAAGTCTCCTAGAATGAATGCATTGCATTCTATTTCCCATTTTAATTCTGTTAGTATTTGTTTCATGTATGTAGCTGCTCCTGTATTGGGTGCATAGTTTTTTATAATGATTTTATCTTCTTGTTGGATTGACCCATTTATCATTATGTAATGTCCTTCTTTGTCTCTTGTTACTTTATTTGTTTTGAAGTCTATTTTGTGTGATACAAGTACTGCAACTACTGCTTTTTTCTCTCTATTAGTTGCCTGAAATATCTTTTTCCATCCCTTCACTTTTAGTCTGTGTATGTTTTGGGGTTTAAATTGAGTCTCTTGTAAGCAGCATATAGATGGGTCTTGTTTTTTTATCCATTCAGTTACTCTGTGTCTTTTGATTGGTGCATTCAGTCCATTTACATTTAGGGTGTTTATTGATAGTTATGTACTTATTGCCATTGCAGGCTTTATATTTGTGGTTACCAAAGGTTTAAAGTTAACTTCCTTACTATCTAAGAGTCTAATTTAACTCACTTAATATGCTATTACAAACACAATCTAAAGGTTCTTCTTTTTTCTCCTTTTTCTTCCTCCTCCATTCTTTATATATTAGGTATCATATTCTGTACTCTTTGTCTATCCCTTGATTGACTTTGGGGATAGTTAATTTAATTTTGCATTTGCTTAGTAATTAGCTGTTCTACTTTTTTTTTGCTGTGCTTTTATTACCTCTGGTGACAGCTATTAAACCTTAGGAACACTTCCATCTATAGCAGTCCCTCCAAAATACACTGTAGGGATGGTTTGTGGGAGGTAAATTCTCTCAGCTTTTGCTTATCTGGAAATTGTTTAATCCTTCCTTCAAATTTAAATGATAATCTTGCTGGATAAAGTAATCTTGGTTCGAGGCCCTTCTGTTTCATTGCATTAAGTATATCATGTCACTCCCTTCTGGCCTGTAGGGTATCTTCTGAGATGTCTGATGACAGCCTGATGGGCTTTCCTTTGTATGTGATCTTATTTCTCTCTCTGGCTGCTTTTAATAGTCTCTCCTTATTCTTGATCTTTGCCGTTTTAATTATTATTTGTCTTGGTGTTGTCTTCCGTGGGTCCCTGTTCTTGGGTGATCTGTGACCCTCCATGGCCTGAGAGAGTATCTCCTTCCCCAGATTGGGGAAGTTTTCAGCAATTACCTCCTGAAAGACACTTTCTATCCCTTTTTCCTCTCTCTTCTTCTTCTGTTACCCCTATAATGTGAATATTGTTCGGTTTGGATTGATCACACAGTTCTCTCACTATTCTTTCATTCTTAGAGATCCTTTTTTCTCTCTATGCCTCTGCTTCTTTGTATTCCTCTTCTCTAGTTTCTATTTCATTGATCGTCCCCTCCACTGTATCTTATCTGCTTTTAATACCCTCTTTTGTGCTCTTCAACAATTGGATCTCTGACCGGAATTCATTCCTGAGTTCTTGAATATCTTTCCATACCTCCATGAGCATGTTAATGATTTTTATTTTGAACTCCCTTTCAGGAAGATTCATTCAGGTGATGTCATTTAAATCTTTCTCAGGAGTTATATTAATAATTTTACTTTTAACCAGGTTCCTTTGACATTTCATATTTGTATATGGCACCCTCTAGTGTCCAGAAGCTTGACTCCCTGGAGCTGTTCAGCCCCTGAAGCAATGTTGGGGATCATAGGGGAGTAGTATTGGTGCCTGGGGGAAGGAAGGAGCTTTTCCCTGCTTCCTGGCTGCTATGCCTGTTTCCACTGCCTGAGCCAGTGGGCCGAGCACACAGGTATAAGCCTCTATGCTTTGCACTTGTAGTTGCTGTAGACAGATCTTCCTGCTGCCTGGCCTAACACCAGGGTAGGGTTTACTGGTTTGCAAGCCAGGTGGGGCTGGCTAGGGGAAAGGTGCAGTAGGCTGCGTATCACGGAGGGGTTCCTTGGAGCTGTGTAGCCAGCCAGGGAGCTGGAGCACCTGACAATCATGAAAGCTCCCAACCTGCTGGGCAGAGTGCCCCTGGACAGTTTTGTCTACCTGTCCTTTCTCCTGAGCAGTAAACTCTGTGCAATCCTTGCCCCTTTAGCAGCCCTCTTGCTGTTAAGAATTATCTCAGACTGCCTGCCTTTCTTTTGTCCCAGAGCAGCTGGATATGGATCCCTGCCTTCCACAAGCAGCTGGAATCTCAGTCTCTCCAGGAATTCTGCCTGTCTTAGCTTTCCAACCCCCTAATCATGAGAGTACCATGGAAGCACCATGAAATGTAGGTTTGTGCTCCTGGAGCAGATCTCTGGAGTTAGGTATTCAGCAGTCCCAGGCCTCCACTCCCTCCCTGCTCCATTTCTCTTCCTTCTGCTGGTGAACTGGGGTGGAGGAAGGGCTTGGGCCCTGCCGGGCCACAGCTTTGGTATGTTACCCTCTTGTGTGAGGTCTGCTCTTTTCTCCAGGTATATGCAGTCTGGCACAGTCCTCTTTCCTGTTGCTCTTTCAGGATTAATTATATTTTTGTATTATATGTGATTTTAGGAGGAAGCCTCTGTCTTACCTCTCATGCAACCATTTTTAATCCCTTCTCCCCCAGGCACTTTCTTACACCATGATTGTGTTAAGCCAGCGCATTTGAGGGGCAGAGTAAACAGCCCATTATGAAAACTGTACACCTTTCAACACTTGCCAATTACAGACTTTTCCAAGGCAGATTTGTCATTTATGGCTCATGAGATGCTGTGATTTCTGGGCAGTAAGTCCTAGTGATTATTTCAAGCAACAAGTTTGCCATGATTTACTTTAAAAAGAAACTGAATCCAACTTGAAATATATCTTTAAAGGAATGGGCAGGCATGACACCGGAAGATGAGCCACTCATTAAAGGCTGGCCATTTGTCTGAATTCTCTGTGGTGCCCTGGGGCAGCTGTCAGCACAGGAGGGGCATTTAAGTGGAATTATATGAGCTCTTTGCTGCTGAAAAGATGGATAGTTTCTAAGAGGAACTTCTCACAGTGACCAGGCATGTTATGGAGTAAAATAATGGTCAGAGAGAATATCCCAGGCCCCTAATGAGAAGTCGTTGACAGAAAAATTGCTCTAGCATTCATCAAAAAGCCAATAAATGTCAAGGAAGGGACTGGAGGTGCAGCAGCTCATAAATTCTTTCTGAGGGAGCCTCTAGAGGAGAGTTTGGGGACAACATACCCACTCTGCCATTTTCCTGAATGCTCCTAAATAAACTTCCAGGACACTTAAAGCATTTATGGGCTGGCTTACAAGAGGGTGTCTACAGGGAGGCCGCTCCAGCTATCTTGTCTGTGTGATGTCACAGTCTGTAAGTTAACTGAGCTGAGATCCCTTTAGGATTGGCAAGCCAAAGGTTTATGAAGATGATCCTGTTACAGAAAAACCTGAAAAACCTGGACTGGATCACTGATGGAAGAACCAAGTGGCACTTGGAGGTCTTGGAGTGCTGACGTTTTAATTTTACACCAGTGGGCTCAGAGAGGAGTAATCTCCCAAGGTCTAAGCCCCGAACAAAGGCAAGGGGAGAAATATATATCTTTCTGTTTCCGTATCTGCAGCATTTCTATGTGCACAGCAAATGAGCAAGCAAGGGGGAGTAAGTTTAGGGAGTGAAGTTAGGGAGTGAGTTTAGGGAATGAGTGCCTGGCAGAGTGAGAAGTTAAGGGTTTCTGTTGTTTTTGCTAAGAAGAGAAACAGAAGGGAGCCACCTGGACTAGATTACTGTCCTTGTAAATTTTTCGCTATCACTACCATTTGCTCACCAATGAGTCAAAACAGATTTTTCCTCTTATTCGTAGAATACTTACTGCCTGTGGTGGTCATCTAGCAATAAATCCTGCTGCTTCGTTGTGACATGTTTTCTGTTGCTAAATATTGTTTTCATTTCTTTGTTAGGGGAGGGGTGCATTGAGTGGCTAATGTGAATCTGCCTCTTGACTTAGTTTGGGTTCCAAAGGTGGACCCTGAACCATGGACTCATGTGAATGTTGTTTATTTGGAACATGACCTGAGGAAGCACACACGAGGGTGTGGGACAGGGTAAGGCAGGGAAGGAGAGGGGCCGGTGAAATTTGCATGAACAGGCAGGTCAGTGCTGTGGGTAATGGGCTCCACCCTCTGGGCCCTTCTAAGAACATAGCACCAAGCTCAGAGTTCCCTCCGAGGACCAGGTGCTGAGGCATTCATCCATGGACTCCCACCTGCTGCTGCTGGAGGGGTGTCCCTGGAAGGCCTTAGCTCTCCTCACACTTCGGTTGGCCTGTTGAAGCTGACCGAAACATGCCACTTACTGGCTGTGTGATGATTGGCAAGTCATTTAATAGCTTTGTGGTTTTTTTTCTCATCTGTATAAAGGGGTTCTTTCATGAAGCCTACTTCATAGAGGTTTTGTGAGGATTAATGTATTAATGTCTGCAAAATGCTTAGCACAGCCTGGCACAGAGCAATCACTACATACATTTGAGTGTTGATAAACTCTAAATCACACTCCACTTTGACCAATACATTTTTTTTCTTTTTCTAAATTCATAAACCTGGAATTATCATCTTAACACAGAATTTGGTAAGGCAAATATTGAAAACATACAACGTAAAAAAGATAAATTCTTAAATCTGTGAAAAGCGACTTGCAAATTGTTATTAGGGTCTGTACTTAAACATCCCTGGTCAGGACAGGGGGATCAGGATTAAATATCAGTATAAAATCAGTAAGGAAGTTAGAAGACTGCTACACGGGAACATAAGCGTCCTAACACTGAGATCCCCTTCCCCATGCTTCCTTCCTCCCAGTCCCTGTGGAGGAGCCCTTCCCCACACTGGGAGCAGAGTGGGCTGTACTCCATGCAAGAGACACAAGAGACATGGCAGGCACAGCATAGGTGGTCTGAAGAACACATTTTGGGCTCCAAAATATGAAAGAAAAACGCTTGCATGACTGAAATTTAGTATTTTATTAACTGTAACATGTGAACTTCAATAATGTTAAATTTAACTCCTGCCTACTTGATGATTGCCAAAAAAAAAAATCATTAAAAATCAAATATTTAAAAATAATTTTAAAAGCTAATTATTCAACTCCTTTCCCTAAATAGAAGAATGATATTTAGTGTGGAATATGGGTGTATTCTAATGGTTAACCTGATATGGGGTGGGGTTTCCAAAGGCATGAGCTCATGGTGCCTCTGAAGGCTCTAAAATCTGCCTATGTGGATGACTTCAGGAGGCTTCTGGAAGTGCTCAAGTGTCATCACAGTCCCTTGCAAGCCTGTAGTGACAGCCCAGAACTTCATCATAAAAGCCACACTGCTTCAACTTTTAAAATACAGATACTGCTGGAATGATCCATCTCTGCCACCCGAATGCATGTGTTAATGTGCAGAAGAATTACTTGAATCTGTTTTAACTGCATATTTTGGGCCCCAGAAACCAGAATTTGTGACTCAGTAGGTCTGGTGAGGAGCTCAGGAATTTGCCTTGGAACAGTCCAGGCTGTCCATGGGCCATGCTATGGAAATGCTACTCTTAGAGCAGTGGGTTTTCAGAGGAAGGAGAGAAGAGGGAGCTGGCTGAATCATGCGCCTGGACAAAACTAAGGGTGCTCGCTGGGTGTGACGGAGAGCTGCACTGTGTGGGGCCCTCCTAGCCAGTGACACCTGGCTCAGGCGGGCCTCCAAAGCGCTGAGTATCTGTGATGGGTTTCTGGTTCTCGTGTGATCAGGTGTTTTCAATGTTTACCACTTCTCAAGGTAAAATGCCATCTTCTGCACTTGAAAGGAGCATTTTCTTTGAACAAAAGCTGCCTGTTTCATGTTTCAGGACAAGTTTCCAAACCCAAGTATTACAGAATCTGGAATGTCAGAACTAAGAGAATAAGCATGGCTTGTGGTGTCATTTTTATAGATGGGGAAACTGGGCATGCAGAGAAGTGCCACCACCCCTCCAGCACCACATAGCTAGCTCGTGGCAAACCCGCGACTAGGACTCGGCAGTGTTCATGTGCAAATACGGCCTTTCCTGAATTCCCTCCAGCAGGCCAAACTGTGGCCTTGGCTCTACCATTCCTGCTTGGTTTCCTTTTTGCTCATTGGTGGTCTGACTCCAGGCTGAAATGGTAAACTTTCCAGTGTGTTGGGAGGAACAAGTATGGTGGTCAGGGGCACAGGTTTTACAGATCCAAAGCCACATACTGGCTGGACTGTGGCAAGTGCCTAAACTTCCCTGGGCCTCCTCTTACCAGGAAGGTAATACGAGCTCCTGCCTAGGGCTGTGTGGCAGGAGTGTAGCTCATTGAATCACTGTATATTCTTACACGGCAACTCCCCACATATTCTTTGGTGTGGTTAATCAGGGAGCTGGTGCTTGCCGTTCACTCTGTCTGTGTTCTCCAGGCCTCAAGCACGAGTGAACACCCATGTCACTGACTTTCTAGCCCTTGAATGCTGGGGTGTGGCCTGCTGGGCTGAGCACAGCAAAGCTCCCTGAGAAGCTAATGGTACAGAGGGAAAGGCGAATATACTTGGCTTTCCAAAAGCAATCATCACATGTGTCTATCAGGAAATTTTCACTCAGTGTCCCTGTAGAAGGAAGCAGAGATACAAATTAATCCAAAATTCCTATTTGCCTTGGGATGAATTATATGACATGAGAGGGTGGGTGGCAGATTTTCCTTCTATATTATTTTCTTCACTGGCAACTACTGAGATTTGTAACTAGTCCCTGTGTGCACATCATCTCCCAGGCTGGGAAGCCAGTCTAGACACCCAAGGATTTCATGGTTTGAGGGTATAGTTCTTGCTCATACAGAAGCTGGAAAGTTAACTTTTGATTTTCATTTGCAAATGAGCAAGAAGACTTTCTTACTTTCCCCAAAGTCCAGAGAGTTTATAACACCCTCTCCTCTATCCTGTGCAATCTGGCAACTGCCAAATAGAACCTAAATAGTGGGCCACCCAGAAAGGAAGATGTGGAACTGAACCCAAAGACAGCATGGTTTTGGAGCAGACCCTGAGAGCCCTCTTCTTCACAAACTAGTTTACAACTTCAACTTCAGCCAGCTCTTTAGTAGCTTCTAGTAAAAACTCCACTAGTGGTCTGCCAGGAATCAAATCTGATGTCCCTTGTGCCTGGCAAGGTTCTGTAGCCAGGAGAATTTGGTCCGTTTGGGGAAGCTGCCATGGAGGAGGAAAGTCATTCTTCAGGCTGGCCCCTCACCAGCCCAGGCCACCCCACGAGGCTGTATGGCTGGGAGAAAGAGCACCCCTGGCTGTACCAGGCAGATGGCATTTGGAACCTTACTATACTGACGTCAGCTGCTTGGCCCAGGACAAAGTCAGCTCAGCTCTCCCCTGTGAGATGGAGGTGATGCAGGACCTGCTCCCCTGAGTTCTGGGGGGACTAGGTGAGAATATACAGAGGGCACCTCGCATGCCCAGGTGTGCAGTCAGCGGGGTGCTAGTGCTTTCAGCTCATGAGGGGCACTCTTTTCAAAGAGCTGCTCCTTCCCAAGAAAACACTCTTTTTTTGACCTTTCTAAAGTCTGACAAAGAAAAAGTCACCAAACTCAGTAGAAGCTTGTGCACACACCAGGGATGTCTTCGAAGCAGTGCTTGCTGCCCTGAATGGGAATCACAGTAGAGCCAGATGGTTCTGTGTCTTTGACTGTGGAACTAATCCCATTAATGGGTACATTCTACTCCTAAGTAAGAGAAACTGGCTTAAAAAATAAAGATCAGTCCTAGATGCAAGCTTGAGGACAAGAGATTTAGAACATTTCTTGGGCTGTATTGGACCAAAAGCCAGAAAGTAACATGTCTAATTCATACACTTGCTCTGTGGGAGACTTGAACGCCTGATGCTGGTTTAGATTCTGTACCAGCCCCTCAACAGAGTTTGGAAATGGGTCGGAGCAGGTGAGGTTCAGTGCAGAGACCATGTGTCTGTGTCCCTCCCACCCTGCTCTGTGTTTCTGTCCTCAGGGCTGGCTCTGGGTCCGGGGGTCACAGCACCTTGGGCAGCCAGGACATTCATCACAGAAACACTGGGCACCTTCTATATGCCTCTCAGCATAGTGTAGAGCTTTCCCCCCCACCCCCCCTCAGACAGTCTACAGTCTGGTTGGGAAGATAAAATTACCAGTTTCTCTAAATTTTTAAACTTCTAAAATCATATAAGATTAGTCCGAAATCATATAAGATGAGTCTCAATAGGATCAAGATTTTCAGTGTGGAGAATATCTTGTAGATGCTTCCTCTCTCTTGAGCAGCAAAAAGCACCTCCACCTTGTGGGACATTCCTGAGAGCAGAGTCAGGCCGGCACCATTCTTCTGTGGCTCAGTTTGTCTCTGCTGCTTCTTGTGAGGACCCCCATGTAGGTGCTGTGCAGGAGCACGTTGAGGGCCAGGCTTTCCAGCCTGGCTGGTTGGCATTGGTGCTCACTGCCCTTCCACTTAGTTAGCTCTACATCTGACTTCATTCTGTCCTTTCCCCAGAATTAATACAGACCACATGCAGTGAAACCTATTACTAATGGTAACATGGTGACATCATTACTAATGTTATAAAAGCAGCTGTCTTCTGTTGCAGTCATGAGGCAGCAGTGGTGTTTGGGTGTCAGAAGGTGAGGGGTGGGCTTCCTGAGTGCTGCCTTCTGGGCCCACTCCTTGTTTCTCTAAGGCGTGCTCAGTGTGACCAGGTGGGCTTCCTCTTCTGGATGAAGGCCTTGATTCCCTCCTGCCCATCCTGCATGGCTACGTTGTCCACCATGGTCTGGGAGGTGAGGTAGTAGGCTGTTCTAAGGTCCTGGGGCAGCTGCTTGTAGAAGGTGGCCTTGCCCAAAGACACCACAGGACGGCTCAAGGAGGCAATCTTTCTTGCTATTCTCATGGTCTCTTCCTCCAGCTGTTCTTCTGGTACCACTTTGCTGAGCAGCCCATGGAGCAAGGCCTCTTGAGCAGAAATGGGCTCCCCTGTAAAAAGCATTTCCAAGGCAACCTGAGGGAGGAAACACATGTGATTACTAAGGTGCCCTGCTATGACCCATTGCCACCTAAAGTCCACCCTCTCCATGCCAGTCTCACTTGCCTGCCACCTCAGCCCAGTGATCTGCTTCCTCACATAATGCCATCCATTACACAACTGTCTTCAGTACCCAAACTCCTGCCAGGGATGACATTGGGTCTTTCCAAGAGCATGGAAAACAGAGTGCTGGGAAGGGGGTGACTATTCCTTCCCTGCTCCTTCCCCAGATCCAGTCTCCCACCCCAAGGAGGCAGGAGGTGCCACCTGCCTCTTTGGAGGGCCAAACACAGGACAGTGGGCACATCTGATGGATGAAACTGAAAATGCCACAGCAGCGAGGCCCCCTCTCCCCACCAAGTTATGCAGGCCAACTTCCCAAAGGAGGAAAGTGTCTGGAGAAGGATGGGATTGGAAGGAGAGTCTCCCAGGGACCAGGTGCCAGGAGCCCAGCATGGTTTTCACCTACAAATAGGTAAGGTGTGTGAGTACAGACGCCTTCTTTTCTCTCCCAACCCCTCAAACTCTGGATTTTCAAGGCCTGCAGGAAAAGGGGCTTACCTTCCTCCCTCTCTGTGGTTTCCTCTCCTCCTCAGCTGGCCACGTTTTGTGTCTCAATTCTGTAATTCTGCAAGGCCTGGCTTCTCAAAACTCAAAGGTACTATTTAAAAGGGGCTTCCGGGTGTGCGTGGAATGCTCGGACAGAGGGTTTCCTCTCCCTCCCTTCGCTCACTTCCCTGCAGCCCCGCTGGCCTCTTTGCTGTTCCTTGAACAAGCCTCTGCTGCTGTTGCCAGAGTGGCTGCATTTGCTGTTTCCTGGGCCTGCACTGCTCCGTTCCCAGGTGTCCTCATGACTATGTCCTCATCTCCTTTGGGCTCCTGCTCACGTCATTTTATCAATGAAGTCCTCCAGGACCACTCTACTAATACTGACAATCAAATCCTGGTGCTATCCTCTTTTCTGCCTGTACGTTTATCCTTGGCACTTTCAACATTTAACATACTATATGTCATACACAGTTATTTTGTATATTGTATTATCTCTTTTGCTAGCATGTAATCTATACTAGGTCAGAGATTTTTTTTTTACTGTTCTGTTTATTTCTCTATCACCAGCACCAGGAGAGGGCCTTGCACATAGTAGGCAACCTACTAAATATTCATTGATGAATGATTTAAGGGATGAATGGATGAAGCAAGCAGAGTACAGAAGTGATGTTGCAGTTCTTTAGAGGCTAGGTCAGGGTGTTAAGTAAACTTTCACCCGGCTCTTTCTCTTGGGCTGCTCAGTGCTGGAACCCAGCTGCCATGCTGTGAGGAAGCCCAAGCCACACTGAGAGGCCGCACGGAGTGTTTCAGCTGACCAGCCCCCCTGAGGTCCCAGCCACACATATGACTGTCCCCAGCTGTCACTCCATTTCCACTCTTCCCAGATGAGGCCACAGACACTATGCCAACAGAGATAAGCTTCCCTCACTGAGCCCTGTCCAAATTTCAGATTCATGAGCTAACCAAATTACTGTTGTTGCTTTGAGCCTCTAAGTTGTGGGTGGTTTGTTTTGCAGCAATAGATGTTTGGACTGGCTTGACACACAGATCTGGGAATCATAAACATTTAGACCATGCAAATGACTCCATTTCTCAACCTCGATGCCACTGTGTATTTCAGACCAGATCATCTTCGCTGTGTGGGACTGTCCTGAGCATTGTCAGGTGCTGCCCTCCTCTGTGTACCAGCAGCACCCGCCCCTCAGCAGTTGGGACAATCAGAAATGTCCCCAGGCATTGCCAAGTGTTCCCTGGGGCCAGTCAATACAGAACCACCAATTTAGGTGGTTTTTTAGTCATGAGATGAATTGTATCACCTAGGGATTGAGCTTTGGTAGTGAAGGAGAGACCATAAGGTTGGGCCTGAGGCTCTTGCCATGGTAGGTCCAGATGGAATACACACTGGGTGGGCAGTCAGGGCCAGGTGATGTTGTACCATATTCTCTTTTCTACCAAGAGAATGGGCAAATTCCAACTGGGCCCAGTTTTGGAAATTTAACGATTCCATTACATTTGGGAGATGGCTGGAATGTGGTATCTGTTGTCACTTTGGAGACCATTCAGCATCTTATTCCAAAGCATGTTTGACGCCCCTAGTAGAATATGGAGCTAAAAATCGGGCCCTGCTGATTAAGGGCTGCTAAGACACCACTGGCAACACCTTGTGAGTCACAGTGAATGGGCCAGGACAGCATCTGCTCTGTTTCTGCTCAATAAACACATATCACTGGGATCCAGGTCAGAAGCCAGGTGAAAGCAGAGTCATAGCATATTCCAGCCTTTCTTTTCTTGTTAATACAGGTGGCTCTGAGGGACTTCACATGGACCACGTCTCACAAACTGGCCAATCCTGAGAACATCATTAAAAACAAACCCACCAAAGTCAAGCTCATAAGTCCCTTTGTAACTTGGATGGTCAAGATCTCACATGACTTTCAAAGAGTAGTTATGAATGGCAGCAGAGTCAGAAGGAGGAAATCATTAGAATCAAAGTAGTAGTAAGTGCTCTTTTGGCTGGCTCGACAGGCATTTTTTTCATCCTTTGTGTTCAGTACTGGCCACTTGGTCATGATCTGTGTGGGCCAGTCCCCTTATCACCACGCTCCTCTGACAAGTGCTTTCTTCTGCGGCCCATTCCTTCCAGGCCCCTCTCCTCTGAGCCTCTTGGTCCATTCTCCTTCCCTAGGCTCCCTGTGCATTTATAGAGCCCCATATGACTCATATACTACAGCTGCACAGGGTCCAGCTGCCAGGATGTTTTTAGTGCAAGGTGTTTGGAGCCCAAGCTTCCATAGGCCAGGGCACAGGGGTGGCTGGGGGCCTTGTCCTGCCTGTGAGTGTTGCTCCTCTGAAGGACCCCCGAGCAGGTTGCTCCTCATCTCCCTCTCTCCCGACTAGAACACAGGGCACAGATGTCTGTCTCCCAAGATGCTGTGAAGAACAGCCAAGTAATGACTACAGAGTGCACTGTCACAATGGGTACAACAGAAACGCTAGTTAAAAAATGGTCCATTTGCTTGCTCAAGGGACCTGGTCTGAGTCTACACTTATGAGGAGATATGTTTCTGTGAGAAGGAACTCAAATCAGGGCATAACTTCATTCATTCAACCAATATTTACATAGGAAATTTACTGTCAAGAATAGTGCTGTGGACAGAATTATCTCCCCAAAATTTGTATGATGAAGCTGTACCTCCCAATGGGACTGTATTTGGGGACAGGGCCTATGAGAAGGTAATTATGGTTAAATGAGGTCATAAGGGTGGGGACCTAATTCAAAAGGAATTCTCTCATAAGAGGAAGTGAGAGTTCTCTCTCCCTCCCTCCCTCTCTCCCTTCCTCTGCCATTTGAGGGCACAGTGAGAAGGTGCCGTCTACAAACCAGGAAGAGAGCCCCCACAAGAAACCAAACCTGCTGGCTCCTTGATCTTGGACTTGCAGCCTCCAGAAGTGTGAGAAAATAAGTCTAAGTGGTCTCTGTTATGGCAGCCTGACAAACTAATATACACTGTAAGACTATCAATGTTTGCAATATCTTAACTCCAAAACCTTGCTGTAAAAAAAAGTTTCTTAGTCCCTGGACTGAATTGCTCTGGGAGGATGTAGAACCCTGAGCCCTGGAGATGTGTGAACAAGGCGACCCCTCTCTGTCAGGGAGTTGGTCTACTCACAGGAGAATGAAATGACTGTTTAAATTCGCTTCTAGACAGAAGATTGCTAATGTTATTTCAGGATCTCTAATCATAAACAAAAAGGAGGTGACCTTGAGCTATATAACATAAGAGATTTTAACTGGACAGAGAGGATATTTACCCCTTCAGTCAGTGAGTCAGTCAGCCACACAGAAACAGAGATAGATAATTGGAACAAGACAGACAGTCAGAAGCAGTCAGACCGCCATCTGTACAGTCCTTTACTAAGCTCTGGGTTTGGCATACTCAGAAATGAGTTGGTGCACAGACACCATTCCAACCTCTCCTGTTACCTCGTCCAGTGGCTGTAAAAGCTGCTCAACTCAGGAATCATCTCACATGCTCCTCCAGGTGGCACTACAGACACACTGCCTCTCAGGACGTGTCCCAGGATGGCCAATTTTTAAAAACAAAGACATCAGGAGCAAAGGTGAAGAACCCAGGATGATGGAGAGGTGGACAGCAGAGTGGCTTCCCTCCTGTGATCTGTGGCATCTGAATAGATGTGAATGGGAGAGGACAGAGACCCCATGGCTCCTAGGAATGGGGTAAAATTCTGATTTGGGCTACCCAGAGACCGTGGTGTGCCAGCCTGGGCTGGGAAGGATTAACTAAGTAAATTGGGGTGTTTTACTGCATATCCTCAAAGGCTCCAAGGCCACATGTCTCAGTTCTGATGGCCACGCAAATCACTACTGAAGCCTGGGGCGGGCCTGAGACCTTGCATTTGTCCAGGCTCTCTGGTGATCTACTGCAGAGCTGAGTAGCAAGCCCTCCAGCTTGGAAGTTTTACTCTGTTCTAATTAGACTATTAGGAAATCAGATATTGCAAATACACAAAGTTACCATGGGCAAATAGGTGGAAGCAAGTGTTCCTACTGCACAGAAATGACTGGTGTGGGAAGAGGGAGTTTGGATTTCATGTGCTCCCCTGTGATACCAACTGCCTGAGGCACTGACTGCATTTCTGAATGAAGCCAGACCAGCCCTGACTGTGGAAGGGAGCAGCTGTGCCAGCAGGTTGTTTATATGGTGCAGTGAAGATGCATTATTTAACTTGAGCCAGAGGAGAGAAACACTTTACAATGTGGAAAATTATTCATGCCTGTGCTCAGTCTGGCTTGAATACAAGGGCTCTCTGCTCCCAGTGGACAAACCAGCCCCCAACTCTGGCTCAGCTGAGCAGTTTCCCGGGATGACCAGCAGAGGGCACTGGTGATCCACATGTGCAACCTTAGCTGTGTGCAGAGTCTCGCTTCCTGACCAGGCTTGTTTGGAACAGCACTTGGTTTCCTGTGGGTGTGCACAGGGACGCTTGCCCATCACCTGCACAAAGCTGGCGGGCCTGCGTATGGTGTGTTCATATGGGTGCAACCACCCAGTGGTGACAGGCAGGTGGGATTTTGCTTCAGGTTTAGGTTGTTGTGAGTCCCTAGTTTTCCTGATAAAGGGGGCCAGGTAGGTGATCCAGAAACATGGCAAAAGCCTTCAGTTCTGGCAGACCTTTCCTTCTACTAAATTCCTTAGGAGAACTGCAATTTCAGCTCATGAGTGTTGATCCCAAATCATAGTATCTGCTTCAGGCCTCCAGGTAGCCTGGCATCAGGGAACCAATGTGCAAAGACATCATTGACAAGTTTGACCCACTTTCAGATGACTGGCTAGGAAGAAACTCTGAAGGTTTGACAACAAGAAAACTGCAGCCAACTATGTGGTTTGGAGGCTCCTGGGGACCAGATCCCAAGGATTGCAGATCAGGATCTGAGTGGCACAGTGTCAAAGGCTCTGCGCACCTTCTGAGCAGGCCTGGCCCCTGCCACAACTGTGGGAGGTAGAAGCTACTTTTGTTTTTGCAATGTCCTGCTCCTTAATCTATCACATGGGCGATTATGCAATGTGGTGCTAAGAACTGAGCTTCCTGGGAACTTAAGGCTTGTTTTGTCAGATTTTTTCCCCCCTCTTTCTTCTAAAAAAATAATGGTTAAGTTTCTAGGACTCAATTACAAGCCTCAATTTTAAAAGTTTGTGTTAGGAAAGAATGGATTCTTACCCCAAAGGTTTAAAATGTTTTACCGTGTACCCTTCTAGAAGGTAAGGTGTTGGGGAAGGTAGGGTGACCAGTAAAACCATTTTTTACTATGCAAAAGGCCTCATAAATTGATTTGCACAATTATAAGATAGTTTATTAGTAAGTCCTGACAATATATTTGTAGTGCATTTCAATATATTGGCACAAAGTAGGGAGATAAGAATTGTTTACTGAATTAATAATTTTGGGTAAATGTGTGTCCTGACAGGATTAAAACACTCCCTTAGTCTGGAGACATTTTAGCAAGCTCTTGGGTTTTGAAAGGCCACCTTTTGTGGTGTGGAGCCCACTTTTGGCCAGTTTTCATTAAGTGTGTGTGCTTACAGATATCTGCCTTCAGAGTTTTGTCACAAACACACACTTCTGTAAAGACAAGTGAGGAGGCACCATGTCAGAAAGGAAAGCGTCTCTAACCCTCTGGTCCTGCAGCTTGATCTCCCTTGGGTCTCATTTCTTTTGTGCCTCAGGCATGTGAGCAACTGCTAATTTTTGTAGTTGTGCAAAATGGATAATGTGTTCTAGAAAGCAATTTAGTTTCCCTGTTTGCTGTCGTATATGACTTTGCCTCCCCAACCCTTTTTTTAAAACAGATTTCCAATTGAGAATGAGGATGTATTTTTTCTGGAACAAGAAAACTACTGGTCTACACTTAAGAAATGTTCAGTAAATATTATTTTATGATGTTATAGGAAGGAAGAAAGCTTTGTGAAGAATATAGACTTCTCTGTGGTTAGTAATGACAGAAGAGCTTTTGTAATATTGGCTCCTTCTGAGGCAGATTGAACACATCATACATAGGTATTCATGTTCCTGAAATGTAACTATCTTAAACCTGACACAATCAGGATATAAGCTACTTTCAATCCTTTTTGGAACCAGACAGATGGTCAGCAAACAAGCCAGTGACATTAGTATCCTAGCATCTTGATACGGGCACATGTCACCATGTTATTATATCTCATGGACAGCCTTTCAGTGCAACACAACTGAGTCTCAATTTCATTTCCAACAAGATTACTAAAATCTGGGTCTTTATGAAAACAGAACAAGAAACCTCATTGGTTCTACTGAGGGGCAGGCAAGATTGAAATGCAGTGATTCACAAATCGAAGTTGCAGTGAGAGGCTTCAGAGGGAGAGGCAGCTGGTGTTCCCTCTCTGACACTGACATAAGCAGGAACACTGAGGCACATCCAGCCAGCCATGCTGTGGGCAGAATGTCCTGACGCAAACATGACTTTTAACAAGAGATTCCTTGGAATAGCCATCATGGGCCCTGGAGGATTACACCCGGACAGGGAGCTGCAGGAGGTTAAATTACCTTTCTTGGCACCGCTCTCCCCAAGGCAACCCCAGGCGTGGAGCAGAAGAGCCCGATGTTCACACCTGGAGTGGCAAAAGAGGACTTGTTGCTCGCCACAGCAATGTCACAGCTGGCAACGAGCTGACAACCGGCAGCGGTGGCCAAGCCGTTCACCATGGCAATGACGGGGACCGGGTGATTCTGAATCAGCATCATGACCTGCAAGAGCAAACACACCCACTTCACTTCCATCCCAGAGTGAGGCCACACATCCACACACATTATCTTACATGACTGCACTGCGTTCACATTTTCCTATGCATCAGTGTATCAGATTTGATGACAGAAGGGCGAAAGGAGGCATGAAGGGAAGGAACTTGCATTAACCATGGACTGTGAGCCAGACTGTCGGGTTTGTTCTTCCTGAAAGCCCCAGGAGGAAGCAGCCTGCTGCAGCCAGGTGTAAGGCTCTGAGGGGAAGCTGGGGAGTGGCCTAAGCTTCTGTCTGAATCCAAGTCCCTGGTCTCCCCTAGCACGACAGCTCTGTGGGGTTACAGTGCCATCCCTCTGCTCCCCTGGTATTCCCACTGAAGAACACAGCTGATTTTGTCTCTGGGGAACACAGTTCTGTTCTAACCATGCCTGTGTGGCGCTCTAAACAGATTGTGCTGCTATGGCAACTTCAATGAAAAACAGTTGTTCTTTGAACCCTGGCAGGGAGGGATGGCAGGAACCACATCTGGGCTTGTTTCACACAATGGCAGCTCAGAGAAAAGTCACCTTCATTGATTTGAAGGTTTTGTCCAAGGAATGTTTACCTTTTATATTCATGAACATTTGCTCTTTGTCACCTTTATTATAAAATAACCCATCTATCTCTAAGGATAGGATACCATGTTCTGTAGCACTGGTTCTTGCTTTTTTTTACGTAGTCATCTTCTAAGAATCTGACGGATGTTAATGATGCTCCCCCAGAAGAATGCATATATATCCCGTGCCCCAAACTGTTGATGGGTTTATTGGTGGGTTCATGCACTCTCGGTGAGGATGAGGAGAGCTAGTGACAGAGCTCATTCTCAGCGAACTACAGTGGCAAGGAGAATGCACAAGAACTTCAAATGTCTTGCAGCAAAAAAAGGAGAGATTTTGTTCTGATTCTGAGTGTCGTCTGTCACCTAATGAAGTTACTCATGAAGAATCAACTGACTGATGAGGGCTGAACCTTATGTCTCCCATCTCCCTGCAGCAGAGTGCTAGGATTCCACACAACCTGTGCAAAAATTCTTGGGTGATACACTATACATCAACCACATTAAAAATACTACCTTGGACTTAGGGATTCTATTTCTCAGAAGTAATTTGAAATAGGAGTAAAAAGCTGTCTGCACAAAAGTGTTCATTAAATCATTATGTTATAATAGTAAAAAACTATAAATAATATGTATGAATGGCTATGTAGACTGGACAGTATTCATTTAATGAAATGCTGTGTTCTATCCCATGAAACGTCCAAGAGAAATATGCCTGATGCCTGGAGCTCAGATGCCTGGAGCTCGATGCCCAGTCTGTTGTTCACTGCTGCCTATCCCATAGTCTTCACATCTGTAAAGTAGGGACAATAATAGCCCCAACTTTACAGAACATGAGGATTATGAAAATTAATATATATCAGTACTCAAAATATCACCTGGCATGTAGTAAACATTTAATGCTGTAATTATGCAATTATACAGTATAATCACACCTATGTATGACAAGCAAATAGATGCACATGTGAAAAGATGAAAAAGAATTAAAGCAAACTCTTATAGATTTCTCTGGGTGGTGTGGTCCTGGTATAGTATTAGGAATTTTTCTCCCCTTTGTTCTAGAATTTCAAAATTTTCTATAATAGGTATTTTTTTTAATGTAAAAATACTTTAAATAAAGTTAGAGCAATTCAGAAAAGACAAGGGGAACCTAGATAACAAACCAGCTGGGATAACCAATCCCCTGATAGTAAAGAATTGATTATTTCTCTTTCATGATGCTGAATTAAGTACTTTTTTAGGCCCTGCCTTCACCAAAATGTGGCATAAATCTAACTGCCCTCACCTTACTGGTCAGCATTACCGAGGAGAAAGGGAAGACCCTCCTTGAGACCTAGGGTTTCCACATTCAGCTTCAGCAGGAGAAGAGGAGAAGCGGGGAGGGGTCCCTGGGGAAAGGTGCCATCATTTCCTTGGAGGGTTCCTTTTGCCATTCCATACCCAGTATTTCTTCTCAATTTTCTGGATTCCTGATTTGTGAATCATTAACTGTCATGTGGTACTTGTGGTCTGTAACAAATTTGCTGTGGTTTTTAGATGCTGAGCCAATTCAGGTAGCTCTATCTTCCTTGTGAAAATTCAAATCTTCTCATGTATGAATAGAGCAATGAAATATCAAGCTCAGTCTGTTCCAATCTGCTTGTTGATTACACTTGGAAATTGAAATCTTGCACAAGTTTATGGTGCTCATATTTATCCAGAACAATTTGGTTTTCCTAGAAAAAGTTTTAAAAGAAATCAATGCACTTCCCTTCCTATGTTTCCACATTAGGGCTAGGGCCCTTTTGTGCACTGAATCTTTTTCAGTGAACCAGAGACATCCATGGTTTGAAGGCTTCTGTGAATACTGGCTGTTACCCTCTGTAGAAGCCCTGGCTTTCCCTGGCCCTTTGCTAACCTGTTTGGATTTCAGTTAATGAAGATACTATGGCAGAATGCTAAAATCAAGCCTGTTAGGGATGATGGGATGGAAGGCCTCTACTAGTTCTCTTCGATGAGTTTCTATTTTAGCCAAAGGTACTGGGTATTAGTAGAAAAATAACTTTTAAAGCACCAAGCATTGGCAAACACAAAGGCAGAATGATACAGCAACATCATTAATGTAAAACAAAAGACCTGAGATCTTAGCCCTGGCTAGCTTCCACCTCTCTGGGAAGCCTCAAGGCAAATCATTTTTCCAGTTTGTCCCTCCACGAAATGAGAAAACTACAGTTGATCTTCTTACAGGTTTTCTGGAAGGGCAAGGAAAACCCATGATAGCCAAGAAGGAATCTTTATTGCCTTCTTGTTTACCTCCCTGCCGCTCACCTCTGTCTAGTCAACACAGTACTTGCTGAATCATTAATGACCAATTCAATAAATAAGTCAATGAAGGAATGAAAAATGAGGCTAAGTAATCTTAGGATCAGGTTATGAAATTGTTGTATGTGTCCTGTTTCTCACCTACATTTCCAGTTTCAGTTTGGCAGGAAATTCATGTTTCTCCTATTTCCCACAGTACCTTGCAAGTATTATGCATATAGTGGTGCTCAGTAAACACTCAGGACAGGAACAGTGTGTTAGAGTTGAACTCTACATTCAATTAAAAAAAAAATCCAGAGGCTGATTTAATACATTTGAAATCATCCCGAACTTTTTGTTCCTTTTCCTCCTTTATATCTGTTGGCACTTTCCCTCTGATTAAAGAGACAGAAAGGAAGAAGTAAAATGAAGAGGTTAATTTTCGCACTTGGAAGGGGTGATTATAAAGGCTGGTTAAAAGGTTTGAAAATAATTTTTAAAAACATTACTGTTACACCATTTATGAATGTTCTCTTTCCTATTAACAGGGTTCTTATTAGCTTAAAAATTTTAAGAATTATAGTAATCTGAGATTCTTCTACCCTAAGATGTACATTCCTACCCTTTACCTCTTACATAAGACATGTATACCAAGAATAGCCCCTGACGCTGGAGGTGGCAGTTATCAGCACCAGGGTATGTTAATTTTCTTTGACATTTAGCAAGATCAGCTGCAAACTATGGTGACTGCTTGAAAGTCTAAACCAAATAGTTGCTTGGATGGATTCACCAGTGACCACAGAGGAGCCACTGGTTCTGCTCTGGTTAGGCCTTGTACATAAGACCTTATCTGTAAACTGGAGGCCTGATTCAATGTTTGATATAATTATCATTTTCTGGTTGACCGTCATCCTGGCTTACCTCACAGCAGGTCTGAAATACTTCAGCATGATAATCTTGTCCTTGCCCATCCATCAGTTCTTTTAAATCATGCCCAGAAGAAAACACAGAGCCCTCAGCTGCAAATGTTTCCAGTTGAGAAAAGAAAATAAAAAGATATAAACAGCCAGAGCTGGAAGTTCACTTACTGGTCTATTCAATAACTAGTAGCAGTTGTCTCAATGCTTTGGGCACTGAGAGAAAGTTAATGGTCCCATTTTGATAAGAACAATTCCATGTAGCTTGAAAAGGTAGAGCCAGTATTTTGTGGTGACAATGCAAGACAAGGCATTTGTTCGCTAAAAGGTCTGTAGTAGAAATGGATGAAAAGATTTAATTATAAAAAAGAGAAAGCCTCAGCAAGCAAGGCCAATGGGCTTTCTTCAGAGTTGTTCCTCTGGTTTCCCTCTTGTGTTTTGGGACTTGGTCTGAGCTGAGTGTATCCACTCACATGGGTCCATGAAAATCCACTGTGTCCTCAGCAGCATCCCTGCCATCTCAGCTATGGATAACAGCCACCCATTCAGGTGGGAATCAGGAAGGCCAGGGTGTGGAGAGCACCCTCTTATTTTTACAAGGGATCTGACCGTGCAGTTTTATAGTTATCGTTCTCATTAACAACAACAACATGTAATTTCCCTTGTAAGCTGATAATACTTTCTTGTATTTTCCTTTTGTTGTACTGTTTTGACAGGCAATATTATTCCCTTTGAACAAGTGAGGAAACTGTGTCATTCAGAAGTTAGTTGCCTTTGCTGCATCTGGGTAACACCCTCATGGCTGCTGACCAATATTCTATTTCTTTTCCTTTCCCAATATAAAACAGGTAAAATTTATAAACAACCATGGATAAGAAAGTAACATTTTGAGTATCTGCCTCCAAAAACACTGATCCTTAATTTTAAAAAAAGTGCATCATTTAAATCAGTGCATCATAGAGCATCATCATTATATTTTTCTGTGTGCTTTAAAATGCTGACAATGCTGTTATTTATGCCTCTGCCATCATCACCAGATAATTCGGTAAAAATTCTTACTGGAGAAAGAGCAAGGAGAGAAATGAGCAAAATATAACATGCTTTCTGGCACCAGTGAAGAAGACTACAGATACTGGCTGAAAGTTTGGTAAGAGCTGAAAAGAAACCATTCGGAAACCTAGCAGCGTGGTCCTGGCAGATACTTCGGTGTCTGCCAAAAGCCTTCATGATGAAAACTATCTTCTCAAGTCCATGAAGAAATCAATTCTCTGATTTTGATGGGAGAGACCAAGTGCAGCCAAGTTCATACCCGACAGAAAGGAACAGACACATGACCTCACTGCACAGCAGTCTTGCTATAATTCCCACAGTTCCTAGTGTTGGGACCAAGGCCCGCACCACCCGAGTTACCATAATGAAGGGTCCCAAAGGAGCTTCAAAGCAGTTCTCCTGTTACAGGAGGGATGCCTCAGCTCACCAAGGCAAGCTAGAAACCTCATCTGGGTCCTGCAGAACACCAGGGATGGATGTTAGATAAATACCTGAAATGATAATGACTCTCAGATCAGTGCTTTCAGCTTCACGAAGAAGGTCACTTTGGAGAAATTTCAGCGTTGCCAGTGACAGTGCGTTCCTATTCTTTGGATTGCTCAAGACAATGTGCCTGTGAAAAACATTTTATAATTACTGGGCTGTGCACCAGTTAAAACGGGTGAGGACCCCAGTGATTCTTTTCTAATTTGGTAGCTATTTTTAAGACACCAGGAAGAACGGTGGGTGTGGAGGGCAACTGCGACGTTTGTCGGCTCTGGAGTTACAGCCATGTCAAAACAGGACTGCCTGAAACACAGGCTGGGTTTTCTCCCTTTTTCCCAATATTTGTTTCTCTTTTTCTCCACATTTGCTGTCAGATACATTATTGCCACCTTTACAGAAAGGGCAAGTCATGATTCCAGAATCATTGCTGCCTATATTGAGAGGCTGTGAGGTTTGTAGGACAATGGCAGGAGCCAGAGGTAGCCAGTGGCTCCTCCAACTTATTTTTTCCCATTTTCCTTTAGAAAGAATAGGGCTGGGAAAGGAGCCAAGAATGAAAACCCACCTCCACATTTCCTCCCATCCCCCCTCAGAAGAGGCAGCATGGTTACAGCTGCCAGTACACGTATAGGACAGCATTTCCCCATTTTTTTTTTTACAGTGCCATCCTGGGATTCTGCAAAATGATTCCCGCTGTCTGAGAATGGGATGATATGTGAAGAACAGAAGCACAGAACCTTGTAGCAAGAGGCTCTCTGGGCGTGTCACCTAACAAAAAGCTGCCATTTAAGGGCCTGCTTGATTTTTTAGGGTGTCCCACATGCTGATTAAAGAAGCTGTATTGTCACCTTACTGCCTGTAACAGAGATGTCTTATTTTTACTGTTTACAAGGAACAGTCAGCAAACCAAACACCAGGTCATTGTTATATACTTTATATCTGCCATCTGTCTCCACCTACATGTTTTCTGCCTTTCTCTTTGTTTTTTGAATCTGATATTCCCACTGCTGTGTGTCAGCTTGGGTTCTCCTGTGCCACTGTTTTCGGGAAAACCACTTTGATGACTGAATTTATTTCAGTGCAATAAGAATATAACCATTTGGAATATTTCCATTCTGCTGCCATCTTCAGGTGGCTGTGATATTGTTTTGTTTCTCATGAACATGTTTTTTCGTAAGTACAAAAATGACTTTCAATTGATAGGCTGATAGACTTTGAAACCTGTATTTTGGTAGGGGGGAGTAAGAGAACTGCTGATAAACCCTCCAGGAAAATAGGCAGCTTACTATAGTATGGAGTGTGCTCACTGTATAGGGAGCGTGTTAGCTGTAGTAGTGAATGTGCTCGCTGTAGTAGGGAGTGTGCTTACTATAGCAAACCTAAAAAGCTGTCATCCCAATGGTGATGTAGGCTTAAATTCAATTTGGAGGCCTCAGGCAAAACTGTGAAAAGAGGCCAGCCCCCGAATGTCCCTGCTGCCGGGTAGTGTCTGTTCATGTGTCCCATTAATCCTTTGGCTCCGGTATTACATACATCCCCTGTCAGAGTGCTCTAAGTTGCTGAGTTCGCTGTTCAACCCAGCATAAGTATGATCTCCCTTTCTGACTCATATTTAATTCTGAGGAACCCGATCAGACCTTCTTTTGTAAACTGACTGCCCTGCCAGAAGTCAGGCTTCTGACCAGATGGAACCAGGTTTGCAGAAGCAGAACTGCCCTTGAAAATGGACAAGGAGGGTCCCAGCAGGGCCCTGAACTTCAGAGCACCCTGCTCCAGCCCTCTTCCTGCTGTGCCCCTCCTGGGGAGCAGGGAGTCCACTGAGATAGTGGGATGTGCCCACCTGGAAATCGCTACCCCCTTCCAACCCCTTTGCAGTTATCTGAGATCCTAGAATTCTCTGGTTCTGCAGTGGGCACACCTAGGCCCACAAGATGGCCAAGAGCAGTTGACTATAGGGGGTGAGAAGATAGACTGAATTAGGGCATGCTGGACAGGTGACTGCGCCATGTGATAGGCCTTGCAGAGCAGCTGGAAGGCAGGATGGAGAGGTGGGAGTGGGTAGGCACAGGGTGGGAAGAAAAGAGAAAAGCTGCAGGCCCTGGCGCTCTCCAAAGCATTGGGGGACCCCAGGAGCCTGAGGATTGTCACTTCAAACATGGCCGTCCAGGTCTCATGAAGGTATACTTGTCAGGGTAGGGGAAGAAAATGTATTTGGCAGTTAGCTTGATTTGTAACTTAGACATGCTATGTAGGCCTCTTTGTGCACCCTTGCCCTGGCCTGGCAAGTGTCAGGGTGAGGGTTTCTCGTTTGTACACTGGTATGTTTGTTTCGTTTTGTTTTTTAAAGGCTTTAGGCTTGTTAAGCCAAAGGGCAGAGCACAGTATGGTGTGGTGTCCTTCGCCCTATTATTGACCCACCCCTACGCGGGCACTTCTGAGTGAGGGCCAAGGCGCAGCTTGGTAAGCCTGACCTCGCCTTGGACCTGGTCAGGTTTGTGAGAGGCATGAACCCTCCACTGAAAGCCTTTCTCAAAGGCCACAGCCGCGGTGGGGCCACCAGCAGAGTAGTCCACACTGAGCCTGGAAGTCCAGTGTAGAAGGACTTCCAAGGCTCTCCCCTTCGAGATCCTCCGCCATGTCCTGCAGGGTCCCAAACGCCACTGTGCCCAGGAAACCTCTGTAAACGTGGCCCTGCGGTCCCTCCGACGTCGGGCGTCCTCGGGACCCGCCTGAGTGGAGGCAGGAAACAGGGTCCGCAGCGGCCCGGCTTCCGGCAACGGCTCCCCCGGCTGTCTTCGCCCACCCCCAGGTAAGCCCCGCTCGGCCTGCGGGCGCCCGGCGGCCCGCCGCTGACCTGATGCCGTCCCGCTGCCGCACGCTGGTGGGTCGCGGCCCGGGCTCCGGCTGCCCGGCCCAGGTCGGTCCCCGGCTACACAGGCCGGCGGCGAGCGGAGCCCACGGGCTGCGCCGGAGCCAGCCGGGCCCCTTGGCCAGGAAGGCCCGCAGGCCGGTGGCGGAGGCCATGGCAGGCGGAGATACGGCCCCGACGCTCCGAGGGCTCGGGGGAGCTCCGAGGGCCGCGGTGCCAGCCGGGTCGCTGCGTTTCCGACCGCTCTGGGCCACCAGCACCGCCCGCTTGGATGTCCCAGTCCCGGACCTCGGTCGGACTCCTCGGCTGGGCCGGGCCCCTACCTCCTCCCTAGCTCTGCGCCGCCCCGCCCCCCGGCTCCGGACCCGCCCCCAAGGGGCTGCAGGGAGGGGCCTGGAGTGAAGGATGCTGGCTCCAAACCTGCCGCCCTCTCCGTGGACGGTCTGCCTTAGCAAAGCCAGATAGAGTTTAAGGGAGGGGAGAGTGGGTTGCTTGTTCCTTTCTGCACCCGCATCAACAATGGGGGAGGTTTGCCTAGATTAGGAGAATGAGTGTTAGCCGGTGGTGAGGGGCATGAGCCGCAGACTCCACTGATACTGAACCCCGCGCTCTGGAAACCCGCCTGCCTTGCGTGTCATCACGTGAGGTGCATCCCACTCGGGTGTTGACATTGGAATGCTTTGTGTCTTTACATTTCGGGTTTTTCAAATGCAAGCTGGAGGGAAAGGGAGACCGTGTTCGGGATCGAAATGGCTGGTATATGACAGGGCATATCCTGTGGCTGAAAACTTCAATGTGATGGGAGTAGACTCTTATCATCTGTTAGTTAGCTGCTTCCTAATTCTCAGTCTGGAGCTTTGCAGGAGCGTGGAAGAAATGGTCTCGCCCTCAAGAATCTTACAGTTTCTAGAGGAGATACCATGTCCAAGACCCTCCATGTCTTTCACAAAAAGAAGTTTTGTAAGAATAACAATTATACAAAAGCATACTCAAATGGACTATTGAGGTTGTATAGTGGCTTAAAATAGTCACCCTGGGTTCCTTTGATGAGGTTTCCTTTAATTCTCAGATTCATAATTGGGCAGAACACTATGTGCAAAACAGTATTATGAAAGATTAGTTGAGATCTCTACCACTGCACTTCATTTCCTTGTCCTTGCTCAGGCAGCTGCAGCATTCCTCATTGTTTGCCTCAAAGGAGGAGGGGGTCTGGCAGAACTCAGAGACAAACGGGGTGATTCTTGGTTTTTGAGTTGTAAAATCTCAGCACTTAGGGCCTGGAAAGAACATCAACAGGCATAATAGATTTTGGGGCCGGGGGGACTTATGAGTCAGAGCAAGGCTTCCAGGCTGAGGTCGGATTAAGGTTCTGCTGGTTTGGTGGCAGTGGTAGGATTGTAGGAAAAGCCAGAAGAGGGCCACAGTTGTGGAACTGGGAAAAGGGGTGAGCTACTGCCTTCCAGAGAAAAAGTGGGAATAGTGGGAAACCCCACCTGGGGCAGAGGTGGGCTTGCTCTTTTTCTTTGGTAGAACCCCATGGGAGCCCTGCAAACTCCAGGTGGCACAGAATGTCTGAACATCTCACAGAATTTGCCATGGCTCAGAGTGATGCCATGACAACAGACAGGTCCCTGACCTCTGAGAGGGGCTCAGGAACAGCAGAGGGAGGTCTGAACCCCAGGAGGCCTTGGGATGGAGAACAGAGGATTACTCAGCAAGTATGGATTGACAAGTTGGAGGCAAAGTGGGAATGAGGACATCTCATATGGATAGCTGCCATCACTTGTAACAACTATAATAAAAACAAGTGTAAGCGGCTCAAACAACAAAGTCTTATTTCTCACTCATGGCAGGTCTACTGCATGCAGGTCAGTGGAAAGCTCTGTGCTGTGTCAGCACTGTCCTGGCCCCAGCACCTGATGGAGCAGGCTTTATCTGGGAAGTTGTCATTCTCTGTGGCAGAGGGAAAAAATAACGGGGAGAAACATGAACTGATACTTCCTTCTGAAGTAGTCAGTGACTACCTAATGACTACCATGACTGCCCAAGCGCAGAGCTGTGGTGTTATAAGCTTGTTATAAGCTAACTTAAACTTACTAATTGGGGACCAGGGATAGAAAGCCAAATTCGCTTAGATTAAGTTTCTGCCAAGGCAGAACGGGGATTGGAAATAGAAATTTCTCAGAATTAAAATGAAGTTAAATTTTCTGGAATGTTCAAGGTTGTGCACTGGGATTTGGATCCATCCTTTTCGTCATGCCCAGTGCTGCAGAAGAGGTAGAGCATGCTGCCTACATTGCAGATCAGAATGATCACTGTAATGGGCTGAAGTCCACCACCAGAGGACATTCCTCACCTTACCACGATTAGTTTCGCTGGCAGGATGGGAGGTTTGGATGAGAGAAGATGAAGAGACTGTTCCATCCCAGCATAAGAGTTGGGGTAGAGGAGAGATCTTTGGTTTAGGGTTTTGAGAATAGGAGCTAAGAGGGTGTTCCGAGCCTGAAAGTCACAGATGAAAATGGGAGATTTCAGAGACAGTGTCCACTTGCTTCTAAATGTTATTTAATAATGGTAATAGTCATGATTTAAGAAGCACCCATTCTGTGCCAGTGCCTGCACATGGTGTTTTCCTTATGCATCTCTGCATAACTGATGAGGCAGGTATCATTATCCCGGCTCAGATAGGTTTTGCTAGCCCCACCTGTACTCAGCAGAGTGGTTGCAAAGCTGGGACAAGGCACTGGAGGCTGCCTGAGGGATGGGGCATTGATGGAGGTCCCGATATTCTCCTAAATTATGTGCCTGCTCTCCCACCCCTCCTGTGTCACCTTCTTCCCTTTGTTTCTTCTGGATCCTGGAGCTGATTTGAGAAACACAGAGAGGGAAGCAAAGATGGGCAGCCATCACGTTGTCCAAGCTCCAATTGGTTTCACGTGCTGAAATGCTGATTGGTCCTTAAGCAGTGTGAGAGCCTTTTCACTCAGGCTGTTCCTCTTGTGGCCTCTGCCTCTAATTAATCTTGGCAGGGGTTGCTTGTCTTTCTTCTTTCTTGTTCAGAGTTCTTCTAATCTATATTTCCACGCCGGCCTTGTCTCTTACACAGTTTGGTTTCTAGGCTGCTAGCAGGCTTCTCTTGGGCTTTGATTTGTATGCTTCTTCCCTGTGCCACCTGTCTTTGCTGATGTGTCTTTGTTACCTTTTCACACTTCCTTTAAAGACCCACAGATGCTTGGCAGAATGTTCCAGAAATGGTACAGAATAAAAGACAGTTCTAGGGGAGCCTGGTGTCAGGCTTGATGTTGGAATGAAGGGTTTAGAACTCTTCCAGGTGCAGAGATAGAAAAGTGAAGGGCAGATTTTCAGCTTCTTGTGGAGTGGCTTTTGAACTCATTTTTATTTTTTATTTCAGACTCTTCTAAGGTGGGCATGGAATGACACAGGTGAATGGGTGCTGAGTTTTAGCAGACATTTCTCTGGCATCTGGCTGATTCTCCAGTTCCAATTTTGTACCCTCATTCTCCCTGCAACTTTCTCCCCCTGCAAAAAAGCCATAGGAGGGTCAAGCAACCACAACCAGAAATGTTTCAGACCTCCATTGTTTTACACATCTGCAGCTGCTTTTCAGTGCCCTGGTTTTATGATTTTATATATTATTTATAATCCACCAATCATTGTCCAAGTACCTTTTGCAAACCTAAAACTTCTTCAGGGAGACCCATGCCTAGGGCTGGGGTGTGGAATACATGGGTGAAATTAACTTCTTTGTGTCCCCAACACAATTTAGGACACATTGTTGACTTTGCTCATTTACCTTAAGCCAAATGAACTCAGTAACCTCAGGTAAGGGATAGGGAAGAGTGATAGAAATTGATGAAAAGGCGTGTGTTCACAGCATTGTAGCTACAGATAACATTTTGGATGAGTTTGCAGAGGAAAGCATCCTAATAGTGGCATTACTAGAGACTTTCTGCAGGGCACGAGGTCATTTGGGAGAAGAGTGTTGAATACTTGGTCCATTAAATGGTCTAGAGAAGGACAGCCATGTGAAGGCTGCAGAGTCATGCTGCTCATAACTGTTCACGGTCCCTCAATGAGGAAGGGGCAAGGTCTCAGCTCAGGCCGCCTCTGAAGAGCAAGTTCACAGAGCCACCACAGGGGCGGGAACCCTCTGGCCCTCCTGTATCAGTGCCACCCCTCATGGTGGTGATAATCCCGCAACAAGAAGGGTCAGTTATGTTCCAATACGTTACGAACTAAGGAAAAGCAGTGGACATCCTGGCTTCCAACAGGTTAACCTTCAGCCAAATGCAACATTCCACTGTGTAGCCTGAGCCACTGCTGGAATGTTCCAGATAGCCTCAGCAGAGAGGTGGGTCAGGGGGTGGAAGGAAGCAGGTTTGCTTGATGGAGAGAAGGGATGATTTTCTGCTTGGTTGCTGGGAGGGAAGGACAGGGCAGGTTTAGTTCTTGGTTGTGAGTAGGTCGCTAGTATGGTGACCTGAGCAAGTTGCCTCTGAGCTGGTTTCCTCATCTGTAAATTGGGGGAAACCATAAGCTGTCTGTTGAGTGTATCATGTACCAGGTGTTGATCTAGGCACTGGGGAAGCAGCATGAGCAAAATAAAGTCCTCACTCAGAGGACTTGAGTGCTGGTGCCAGGGAGCCAAAAATAAACACTTGGGGGTGTATCAGATGGCGGTGAACACCCCGAAGAAGGGCGAAGCATGGGTTGGGGCAGGGCGGGGCTGTTTTATTCTGAAGGGTGGGGGAGTCAGGAATGTGTGATAAAAAATGTTGGTGCAGAGACCAGAAGGCAGTGAGGGGGCGAGTCATGCTTGTGTCCTGGAGGGCGCAGCCCTGGCAGAGGGGACAGGTGCAGAGGCTGTGGGCAGGAGGGCAGGAGCAGATGGAGGGAGGCAGAGGTGACAGGCCACATAGTGCTGGCCTTTAATTTAGGTGGCAGTGGACCCTTGGCTTTTTCACTGTAGCAGGGTGGTAGCCCCAGGGATTGTTTAGCAGGGGAATGAGTGACATGACTTACATGTTAAGTGGACCACCTCATTGCCGCGCTTTGAAAAAGTTGTTGATGGCAAAGAGCAGAAACCAGGGCACGAGCTGGGAGGGATGGTGCTAATCCATGTCAGAGATGACAGTGTTGGACTGGTTCCAGGGCGAGGGGAGTAGCGTCTGGATGTATTAGATCAGGCAGTATGTGCGGATGGGTCGGGTGGGCGTGAGAGGAGCAGAGACAAGCATGATGCCGAGCATTTTGGCCTGAGCAACTATTTTTATGCCAAAAGTTGTTAGGATTACTCTACAACATGAATAGTGGT